TTGGGGTTTAGTTTACTTAATTCCCACACACACACACCTCCATCCTTTGATTCTCAAAGCAAAGTACGGGCCAGAGTTGCCCATATATTTTGTTGATGAACACAGACTTCCTTCGTGTTCTCCTTGGTAGAGTTGAAGTCTCCATCGGCCACCCAGTGACCAGCCTAGGGCACTCAGCCAGTCCTCTGAGGGCCTGAGCTCTTTCTCCCTGCAGAACGGGCAGAACCCAGTGTTGTTGTGTGAACCTATAAATACAATCAGTAAGAGTGTAAGTTATAGGTTATAGAGTAGTAAAAAAATAGATTATTGATATGTAAGATTTTGATAAGTGAGATAAGACAATTATAAAGCAAGAACTGTCACAGACTGGTCTAAGACTCCATTTTGCTGCCTTCTGTTAAGAAAAACAAAAACTGTTACAAGAGCTGTTTCTGGGGCTGGGGATGTGGCTCAGCTCGCCTGGCATGCATGCGGCTCGGGTTCGATCCTCAGCACCATGTACAGACAAAGATGTTGTATCCACCGATAACTAGAAAATATTAAAAATTCTCTCTCTACTCTTTAAAAAAAAAAAGAGCTGTTTCTGAGAAACTAAAACGAAAGCAGATTTCTTATATTGTTCTTTGAACTTTGTAACCCACAAAATGTACTCAATTAAGGATATCGTGGTCTTGGTGACCAACTATGAACCAGAGTCTCGCCCCCACTAACCACCTGCTGGAGCTCAGCATATGGTGTCTAACACCTGCTCGAACCCAAGATGCCAATGCCTTGCGCTAATTGCTGTCTTAGCGTCTATGACTGGCTTGCATGACGCTAAGCAAAGTCCCCAAGCTGTGGTTTTTCGTCCTTTTTCCCAAGACATAGGCCAGGAAAAGGCTGTTCTCCCACACAGCTTCAGTCTCTAGGGTGGGTGACAGTCCCCCACCAGGTGAATAAAGCTCTCTTTGATTTGAATTCGGACTTTGAGCAGTTTCTTGACGGGGCTCCCCATAACACCCAGGAGGCCTCTACACTACAGCCCGGGCCCTTTTTATTTTGTATTTTGAGACAGGGTCTCGCTGAGTTGCGCAGGCTGGCCTACGCGATCCTCCTGCATCAGCCTCCTGTGTCTCTGGCACGACAGGCGGGTGCCGCCACGCCCTGCTGCCCGGCCTGGGCCTCCATGCCAGGCAGGCCTGGGCCTCCCAGCCCACGTCCCCACTCGAGGGGGGACATGGCAGGGACGCGCCCCTCTCGGTGCCACGGGGTGCCCTTCTGGAAGCAAGTACGTCGCGGGGCCGACAGTCGGGACAGGGAGGATCCCAGCCTGGCCGAGCGCCCACAGCCGGGTCATCTGGCGGGCCGTGAACTGAAATCCTCGGAGAGGCGGCCGCAGCCTTCTGCTGCGCCAGGCCCACAGGGCCGGACCGCAGTCACCACCACCAGACTCTGACGCAGGGCTCGAAACGGCCGCACGCACGCACGGACGCAGGGACGCACACACGCACGCACCGGGCGCTCTGATCCCGTCCAGCGAGTTACGCACCCCAGCGAGGCGTGGCCTCGGTCGCAGCACGCTCGCACGCACGCACGCACGCACGCGCCGGCCGTCCTGGCTCCGCCCCTCCGGCTGTCCCTCCCAGCGGCCGTGGGGCGGGCCTTGGCGCGGTGCAGTGGGGGCGCGGTCAGGAGTGGTGGCCCGGATCGCGGGTGCTGCCCCGCGGTGGAGGGGAGGGTCCGGCAAATTAGAGGACGAGGCTTCCCGACCCTGCACGCTGCGCGACGGCGGGGCCGACCCCGCCCCGGGGGAGGAGAGCCCCTTTGCTTAGGGGGAGAGGAAGGAACGCCCCCCAATCCTAGGGAAGGAGATCCCCGCCCCGGCCCTCCTAGAGCAGGAGTGCCCTGCTGCCCTGGAACGGCCCAGCCGGTGCGCCCACATGTCTGCCCAAGGCGGCGGTGCGGGTGGGCGGGTCCCTGTGTCCCGGTGCGGGTCCCGGGCTGCTGACCTTCCCGGGGCACCGGCCTCACGTGGCAGAACAGGTGAGGGTCGAGGGTCACCACTGCGGGTCGTAACCGGGCACTCCCGCTGAGCATCCTCTCCTAGTTCCCTGCTCAGGACTCCGGGTCTTTGCCACTACCTCGCCCCAATTTCCTGGGTGGCCCAAGGGCCAAAGAAGGGACTTACCCAAACCCTTCCGTGCAAATGTGCAAATCAGCCTGCTCCGTGGGGAGAGCTGTGCTGAGGCCCCACTCCCTGCACCCTCCGGAGGCCTCTTATCTGATTTCTGGCTCCCAGGTGGGGCTCAGGTTACACCTGTATCAGGAGCAGTGACACCGCAGTGGCTAGGAACACGTTCGATTTCTGTCTGCAACCCATTTTCAGCTTTTACACTTCTTGATCTGGGCACATAACTGCTACTTGCCTCATGGTCAAAGCCCATGAAGGTAGAAGCTCATGAAGGTTAACCGTGGCCCTGAAATGCCAGCAAGCTGTCAGTCCTATGTAGGTAGTTAAGGGGAGACCTGTTAACTCCCTAGAAATACTCCATTTACTCTAGGAACAATGGCAAACTGCTCCAGATGGGTTCAAAGCAGATAGATTGTCCAGATTCTCTTGGTAGAAGGGAAAGCGTTCATACTGACTGGACAAGTGGTCAGTAAGCATGCCCATTTCTACTTGGAAGGTTCTAGAAGACATTTTTCTGAATCTTTCTGGTTTTTGTTTTGTTTTTTTTTTTTAACCAGAGTTCGGGGATTGATTCCAGGGACGCTTTATCCCTGAGCTACACCCACAGCCTTTTGTATTTTGAGAAAGTATCTTGCTAAATTGCTGAGGCTGACCTGGCCTCGAATTTACAATCCTTTGGCCTTACAACCCTTCTGCCTCACCGTCCTCCAATCCCTGGGATTACAGGCATGTGCCACCATACCCAGCTGAAAAACCATCCTTTGATAAGTAGCCTTCTGCCCCTAGAAACCACAGATGGGTACCTAGAAACTTGAGGGCAGCACTGACTCAGTCCCTTACTGAGTTTTCTCATACATAAGAAAACTCAAATGGAACCACCGTTTGACCCAGCTATCCCACTCCTTGATTTATACCCAAAGGACTTAGCATCAGCATACCATAGTGACACAGCTGCATCAACATTTTAGCAGCTCAGTTCACAATAGCTAAACTATGGGATCAACCTAGCTGCCTTTCAACAGGTGAATGGATAAAGAAAATGTGGTACATATGCTGAATGGAGTATTACTCAGCCTTAAGGAAGAATGAAATTATGGCATTTGCAGGTAAATGGATGGAACTAGAGAATATCATGCTAAGTGAAATCCCCAAACCAAAAGCTGAATGCTAATCCATAATGGGAGCAGGGGATAGGGAAGAATGAAGGAAGTTTAGTTGTGTCAAGGGGAGTGAGGGAAGGGGTGGGGCTGTGAAGATGGAAAGGACAGTAGAAAGAGACATTATCCATATTTACATGTCTGATTGCCCTATTGGAGTGACTGCACCATGTACAGGCAGAGGAAGGTTGTGTACAATGTGTCCAAATGCATTCTGCTGTCATGTATAACTAATTAGAACAAATTTTTTAAAAAAGTTCATTCTGGGGGTGGGGAGGGCTGAGGTTGTGGCTCAATAGTAGAGCGCTCACCTAGCACACAGAAGGCGCTAGGTTTGATCCTCTGCACCACAAATAAATAGATAAAATAAAGGTATTTTGTGTCAACTACAACTAAAAAATATTTATTTAAAAAGAGTCCATTCTCTCACTATGAGAAAAAATATTTTCTGGCATAGAAAATGAATTAAGCAGAAATTTTATTTATTCTTCTCCTCAACTTTTTTTGTTGTGGTTTTGTGGGGGGTTTTGTTTTTTGTTTGCTTTTTGGTACCAGGGATTGAACTCAGGGGCACTAAACCACTGAGCCACACCCCTGTCCTATTTTGTATTTTATTCAGAAACAGGTTCTCACTGAGTTGCTTAGTGCCTTGCTTTTTCTGAGGCTGGCTTAAATTCCGGATCCTCCTGCCTTAGCCTCCCAAGCTGCTGGGATCACAGGTGTGGGCCACCTGGCAGGGCTATTATTTTCTTCAAGCATTGTTACAAAATTTTTCTAAACATGTCCCAACTTAAATCAAATGCAGTTTTCAAGTAAAACACAGTGAGGTGAAGAAATTTTTTAGATTGTGCCAGGCACATTGGTACACCCCTGTAATCCCAGGAAGCTGAGGCAGGAAGATCCAAGTTCAAAGCCAGCCTCAGCAACTTAATGAGCCCCTGTCTCAAAACAAAAAAATAAAAAGGGCTGGGGAGGAGACTTAGTAGTTGAGTGCTTCTGGGTCCAATCTCTGATACAAAAAGAAAAAGACAAAAAAACCACCTCTCATTTAGAAAAGTCAACATCAGGTCTGGGGTGGCTGAGTGGTTGAGCACTGGTCCGGCATGCAGGAAGCCTTGGGTTCACTCCCCGGCCCTGCAGGTGTGCGTGCGTGCGTGCACACATACAAGTGTCTAAAAGGCATTTGACCAGGGAAGGGTTTTCGTGTGATTTAGAGGCGCTCATTCCTCGTGTCTTCCTCCCGCCTCAGCCTCCCGAGCAGCTGGACCGCAGGCATGCACCCCTGCACCGGCTTCCTCCAGTCTTGAGTCAGCACAGGCCCTGGTCCCTGGCTGGCAGTCAGCCCTCAGCACTGTGAAGCTCTGTGGCCACAGAGAGACCCTGATTGCAGGCGCTGAGGGTGCACAGCTGGCCTGCAGGACGTGACAGGCCTGGAATCATATTGGAATGAGAGCTTCCTTATTCGGCTTAGTCCCAAACTCCTGAATCATAAGCTCCTGTGTGGCTTGCAATAGCTCAGAAGCCATTGACAGCCTGTTCCTGCTTCCTCCTGATCTGCCCGGCAGACTGCAGTTGACGTCAGAGCAGTGCTATTAGGTCATCAGAGAACGTGGAGAAGGGCAAAAAGCAGCAAAACCTGGGTTCTTTCCCCTCAGGGGCTTTTCCCTACTTACTTTCTCTGATAATAAGGCCCGGTCCCGTCGGGTCACGCAGTTTCCTCTGTCATCCTCGGGGTCCTGGGACTGAGGGAACAGGCCACCATTCGTCTCCTTACCACCAGGGGTCGCCCTTTCCCATGGAACACCTGCTTAATTCTATAGTGACGTGAGACAGGGTGAGGGGACTGTGGCTTTGGCCCTGTGTTCATAATTTAATGGCTTTTTTTTGGGGGGGCACTGGGGACTGAACTCGGAGGCACTCAGCCACTGAGCCACATCCCCAGCCCTATTTTGTATTTTATTTAGAGACTGAGTTGCTTAGTGCCTTGCCATTGCTAAGGCTGACTGAACTTGTGCGTGATCCTCCTGTCTCAGCCTCCTGAGCCACTGGGATTACAAGCTTGGCCACCGCGCCCATCGTAATTTAATGGCTTTGATCCAACGCCTGGAGTGCATCTCCTCTTCCGTCAGCTCTTCCGCTGGTAAAGGAAGGATGTAGGGATGGAGATACATCCTGAGCCTGTGTCCAGCCCCTCCAAGGGAAGGTGGAAGTTCAGCCAGTTTTCCTAGCCCCTCCCCTTGCCAGTCTAGGGAAAAAGAAACAAGGACAGGCAGGGCAGGGCAGGAGATCTGGAAGGCAGCTCCCAGCAGGAGGAGGAGGCTGCTGTGCACAGAGAGAATCCTGGGGGAGTAGCAGTGTCCACTTCAGGCTTTGAATGTGGCCCTGCTGCTCTGCCACTGCAACTGGTTTTTAAAATGGACACTGTTTCTTTCTCTCCCTGCTCCTCCCTAAACTCTCCCCCTCCCTAATCTCAGGGGAGACAGGATCACCTTTTTGGCCCATCCTAGGCAGAGGTATCTGTCCCTGAGCACACACCCACCATAGGAAAGAAGTCATCCAGACTTTGGAGATGGCACCAGAACGTCTCAGAAACGACCATCTCCCAAATTAACTCCAACAGAGAGCACAGGGAATGCAGCCTTTGAGTCACCTCTTTAACAGCCCCAGTTCCTGCTGATGGATCACAGCCTCTGAGACAGGAATGCCCTGTGTCTCCTTTGCTAGCAAAACAACAAACTTTTTTCCTTTTTCTCAAAACTGTGTCCTGAGTACTGGACTGGCATCGGGGACAAGGATGGAGCTTTCAGCAGCAGGGGGAGAGCAGAAGGGTGTTTGGGAAGGTCAGGGGAGAAGAGTCCCCTCTGGCAGGTAGACAGAGAAGACCCAGAGGGTGGAGTGGTCAGATAAGGATGTGCTTGCACCTGAGAGGGGCTATGCTCAGCAGATAAACAGAACAAGCCTCAGGGCCTGTGCCAGGCCTGGGACTGGTGATATGGGCAAGAAAGGAACAAGACAGGGCATTTTGACACATTGTACACAAATGGAGCAAAACTTCTTGCTCCTCTGGCTGAATATGGTGCAGAATGACTCCCAGGGTGTGATCTAGTAGTGAACCTGACAGGCAGGGTGACCGCCCACTTATCCTGGAGAAGGGCCCCCACAGGCTGGCTCTGGAGCAAGCATGGAGGTTTCTGTTGGAGCCATGGGGGTCTGCCGTGGTCTGGGACCACACCAAGGAAGGGTCCCTCAGCTGTGGCCTGCAGGCAGAGGGGGAATGGGCAGGGCAGGCCCATAGAGGCCACGTGACATTCCATCTCCCCCAGCACAGCCAGGCTTCCAGAACGGGCCTCTGCCTCCTGCTGGGCAGAATATGAGAGTGGGCAAAGGGAACAAGCTAAAGATTAGCTCAGGAAGCTATGGGGATGCCTGGAAGGAGGATCCGCCCTGGAGGGCAGAGGGCTGGGCTCCGGAGGGAGAGGAAGGGAAGGGATGGTCCTCAGGGCACAGGCATTGCCTTTGGGGGACAGGGGTCTCTGTGTGTGAAATGTTTTGAAGTGCAACTTACTTATGAAGAGTCTTTCTTCTTTTTTTTCACTTGATGGTGTTCCGTTGGTCTGCTCTCTGAGAACTTAACAGAGCCCTTTCTTTCTGCCAACTGAAATTTCCTCAAGTCCAAGAATGCAAAATGGCCACCCCAGGCCCACAAGTCCAGAGAGAAGGCGGGTATGCCTGAGTCCCGGGAAACATGGAGGCAGAGGCTGCAGAAGCAGGTGGGGCCTGGTGGACAGGAGGGAGACTGGGGGCCGCTGGGAGCCTGAGGCAGGAGAGTTGAGAGTCCCAGGCCCTCTTGGACCACATGGCAAGGCCCTGTCTCAAAAACACAAAAGACAAGAAGCATGTGATCCTCATTCAAGGAGCCACAAGGGATACTGCCACACCTGCTGGGAACAAAGGTTCTAGAACCAAACAGGGCAGGCCAGTGGGTCAGAGGGAGCAGGGTGGTGCCAGCTGCTCCTGCACCTTGCTCTAGAGGCCAGAAAAGCCCACATCACCTCTCACCCCAGCCCTGACCAAAGCCAGGAATCCACTCTTAGGAAAAACATGGCCTTCCGTCCACTTTCAGGGGAGAGGAGGGAGGGTCTGATACAAGCAGCAGTAGAGGATCAGCACAGGGGGCGGGGCAGAGACCCCATCTAGCAGCCCTCCTCCCCCCATCATGGGTGTCACCAGGGCAAGCTGACTCACTGCTGTCACTGAAAGCCACCTCGGGAGGGCGCTGGGGTGGAGAGAGGGCCCTCTGCCAGCGGGTCATCTCGGCCATCCTCTCTCCGTGGTGCACACGGCTCCCTTCTAGGTTGTCCCTAATGGCAACTTGAACCCAAGCACACAGAGCTCAGTGGGTTTCCACCAGGGGCGCACTGGCCCCGGACTTGGCCACCTCTCTGCTGAAGATACCCCAGCACTCAGCACCCCTTGCCCTCTGCCTTCTCCCCACCCTCACCCTCCTCTCCCTGTCTCCCACCCAACCCTGGCCAGGCCTCTCCTGGTGCCAGCCACAAGGCTCAAGCTCAGGTTCAGAGGTGCCTCCTTCCACCAGATGGAAACCCCATGCCTCCCCTTCCCACCCCAGGAGGACAGTCCTGGCCCTGCCAGCACCCTGCAGGATTTCTCCTTCCCTGAGTTTCCCTGGTGGAGCAGAACCTGGCTATAGGACCCACCTCAGCCCAGCATCTCTCTCCAGGGCTGGCTTCCCCTGGCACAGTGGCCCCCTTGCTTCCTTATATCAGAAATCCTGGTCACCTTTCTCCCTTCTTTTTTATTTACCCCAATATTTTATATATAAACATATATAATTATTATTTCTGAACTGGGGATTGAACCCAGGGACACTTAACCACTGAGCCACATCTCCAGCCATTTTTATTTTGAGGCAAAGTCTTACTAAGTCACTTAGGACTTTGCTAAATTACTAAGGCCGGCCTTAAACTGTCGTGTCTCAGCCTTCTGGGCCGCCGGGATTACAGGCGTGCACCACTGCACCTAGCTTATTATTATCAATAATATTATTGTCATTTTTAAAATTCCAAGGGTCTAAGAGTAAAGCTATGGCCATGACTCTGGGTCTTCTTGGTCCCTCCTTCCTGAGGGCACCCACACTGGGGCTCTCCCTGTGGCTTCTTGGCAGCCATTTGGTGTGATCCCACTGATGCTATGGTTTCCTTTCTAGGTTAGAGTTCTTAACCAGCTCTGGCTAGTGTGGATGGAAATAACTTATGACAAACAAACGTGCTGGGGGTCCTGGGTGGAGGGCAGGGGTTGGGGGTAGTTGAGCTTGGAGCAGTGCTAAGTTTTGAGGCTGACGTAGAACTTGTGCTTTTCCTGCCTCAGCCTCCAGAGTTGCTGGGGTCACAGGTGAGCATCATAACACCTGGCCAGAACCGATTGATTTTTGACAACTCCCTCCACAATTCTTATGATCAGACAAATGGAAAAAACACTGCTCTAAATAGCTCTATCCGCCCCCACCCCCACTTTTTTTTTAGTTGTCGATGGACACACCTTTATTTATTTTTATGTGGTGTTGAGAATGGAACCCAGGGTCTCACATGTGCTAGGCAAGCGCTCTGCCCCTGAGCCCCAGCTCCAGGGCCCCCCCACCACCATTTTGTTTTGTTTTGCAGTAGAGGGACCAAACCCAGGGCCTCACTCATGCTAGGCAAGTGCTCTGTGGCTGAGCTGCATCCCCAGCCCTTTTTAGTTTGAGACAGTGTCTAGCTAAATTGCCAAGACTGGCCTCAAACTTGAGGTCCTGCTACCTCAGCCACTGGGTGGCCAGGATTACAGATGAGTGCCATCCCCATGCACCCCGCTGGCTGCTGGTTTTCTAAGGTGGATTTAGACGCTCCTATACACTGTGGCCTGCTCTCACTGGACATTGGAAGCTGGGCTCTGAAAAACCTGAGAATCACCTTGTGCTCTGGAAGAACCATAAAACGGCTCTGGGTGCTGCCAGAGCGTGTGACAGTAAACCTTCACAGTGTGAGTTTCTACCAATGTTTCTAGGGACTCCTCCAGAGGGATTGTCTGTGGTGTAGCAAAGCACCTATGCCAGAGATGAGGAGGAGGTGTCCAAATCGGCCTGTGTGACAGTAAACAGCAAGGTTCTGCAGGGCTGGGGGTCACCGAGCACCTTCCTGCCTGCTCCCAGGTCTGTGCTGGTGGTGGCCTGCCCAGATGGCTTGGGCTGCAGCCTCCACCTGGGCCATGGCATTTGCCTATGCAAACCCCAGGCAGAGGGAAGAGACCACTGGGGTGAGGGCGGGGACTCTGGGAAGCGCTCTACTGGGGTTTAATGGTGGGGTGTGTCCATTACCTTCTTTGCGCTCTGGTTTGTGGTCTCTAATCCCATAGGAGGTCTCTATGAGTGAGGGAAGTTGCCCCTGCTTTACATTCAGCTAGCTAGGAGGGAAGGACAGGAGTGGACCTGTGTGCCTAGCTTGACTCTTGTTTTTTTGGTGGTTATTACTGGGGATTAAACCCAAGGGCACTTGACCACTGAGCCCCATCCCCAGCCCTATTTTGTATTTTATTTAGAGACAGGGTCTCACTGAGTTGCTCAGCACCTCACCATACATTGTTGAGGCTGGCTTTGAGCTCACAATCCTCCTGCCTTAGCCTCCCTGGCTGCTGGTATTACAGGCATGTGCCACCGTGCCCGGCTCCTGGTTTGACTCTTGTTCTTTTTTGTTGTCATTTTTCCTGCACCACTAGGGTTCCCGATTAAACCACCCCAGTGACTCTGCATGAGTTTTATTTATTTTTTCTTTTTTTGTATTACAGATTGAACCGGGTTACCACTGAGCCACATCCCCAGCCCTTTTAATTTTCTATTTTGAGATAAGGTCTTCCTAAGTTACTGTGGGCCTTGCTAAATTACCCAGGCTGGGGGAGGGGAGGGGGGATAGTAGGGGATAGGAAAGGTAGCAGAATACAACAGTCACTAATATGCCATTATGTAAAAACGT